CTTCCCTCCGCTGCCCCCATCTCCCTTTCCCCGCACCCCGGGGCTCCTATTTGCCCCATCTCCATCTCCTGACCCTGTTCCCTGCCTCTTCCTGCCGTTGCGCTGTGCCTGGCCCTCCCCAGCTCCTTTTCCCCCCACCTGTCTCCTCTCCCCTTGTGCCCTGGCTGGGGTTTGTGCCATCCCCGCTGCGGAGTGGCTGTATCGTGCTTTCCTCCCGTTTCGTGTGTGCGTGCAGACGCAGGCAACGAGTCTGAGTTTGAAGAGGAGCAGGAGGAGGAGGGCCTGGATGACCTCTTTCCCGAAGAGTTGACGGAAACGGCCTCCCCTGCGCCGTTGGAAGGAAGTAGGTGGTTTGGGTGGCCAAACCCTGCTCGTCGCAGGCCTTGCTGCCGCAGGGGCTCGGCCTGACTCCCTGGCGCGGCCCTTGAGCAGAGCTGCTCCTGCAGGCTCGGTGGCATCGACAGCTTCTGTTCCCAGGAACGCAGATTGGATTTTGTGCGTGGTGTCCTAGGCAGCGCGAATGGCAAATTAATGTTTTCCCAAGAGCTTCTGCCCCAGGCTGTTCATTTGAAAGTTACTTTTCTCAGTTTGCCTCTTTCATCTTTTCCAAGCTGACAGGAAGAGACTGACTGGGATGAACAGCCATTCTTTCTCCTTGTCTTATGAAATGCAAGCTCTTTTCTTTTTTTTTTTTGATGTAGTTTAATGAGAATAAAAGTGGGCCCTGTAAAGAGTTAAGATCGGTCCAGTACTTAAGCCATATGATTGCACAGAAGAATTTAATGAAAAGTGGGAAGATAAAGGAAAAGTGATAGGAAGGATGACAGAAGAGGATAATGATTCTCTGTGGCTCAGAGGCCCAGTTCTCTTCTCTGCTGTCAATATCCACGTAACGCATAACCTTCTGAAAGAGTTATTTGTAGAAGCAAGGGGTCAGGACCTGACATTTTATATTCATAAAAGAATTTTGTTCATACTGTGCAAAAAAGATAGGGCCGCCAAAGTTAAGTGATGATGTCTGGCCTGTGTGTAAGTGGACTAGAGGAATGATACGGTCCTACCCCCCCCACCTCTGAATGGATGCAGCTACAACACTGCAAGTTAACACTCAAAAGCAGTAAGACAGAATTATTATTGCTTGATAATATCAGCACACAGAGGGGCATGAACTTTCCAGTTGCAGGTGTGACTGGGCTTTTTCAGCTCCTTTAAAGTGTCTAGAAGCCTGTACTGAAGAGAGAAGCCATACTGCACTTTCTGAAAAACAGAGTAGGATAGTGCTCCTTGACTGGCCTTGGAATTCATGCAGTTGTTTCTGTGTCACAGTGCCTTCACCCTGACTTCTTGGGCACATCATATCTACAGCCTTTTTCCCCAGCACGGTTCAGGATGATGAAACCCTAAATCGTTTGCACTGTTTCTTTCACAAAGTGCTTTCATGCTGAAATGCATTAACCTACTTATTTTATCATAAAAAATCATTTGTATTAGAAAATGCTGGTAAGGAGGTTGTAAATAAAGCCCCATTAGCTGTGAAATGCAGCAAGGTCACTTGCATGTTTTAATCAAATCCTTCAGCAATGGTGTGGGGGAAAATATATGATTAATGGCAAGACTGGATGGCAGGTTGGTGAAAGATGGTGCTGAAGACAGAAAGAAATACCTAGTAATTGGTTTTGAGAAGACAGTTGGAAGGATCTGTCTTAAATGCATGGAATACCTGTTCTTTAATTGGATTTCCTTGCGCTTTTCCTTAGGGATGACTCAGAAAAGCAAGACACCCCTTCTGGAATCTTCAGGTGATATAAGTGTGCAAGGTCACACATCAGCTCTCTCTATTGGGTCTGGATTGAGTGATCTGGAGCAAAGATTTATGACTGAAAGTATGGAAAACGTAGCTCAAGTAAGTCCGTTGTACTTCACTCTGTTCTTTTAGGGATATGAAAATGCTGAGTTTCTGATGCGAGTGTTTCAGTAAAAATGATGAGGAAGTTAAAGATCTGCAATGCAGAGCAAGTACTCAGAGCAGAACAGAACAAAGTTTTACAACAGGAATTTCCTTATGAAACCAGTGGTCTGCGGTGTCTGCCACAGCCTTTGACATTGACTGACGTGACATCGCAAAAGTAATTTACTTGGCAAAATGCTACGTTTTCAGTGTGGAAATGCAATAGTGAGTTACTCAGATACCACGTTAGCTACTCCCAGAGTTGCTCGCAACAAGAAAGTTGCAGTTAGAATAATTGCTAGATAAAAAATACTGTGGGAGGAGCATGTAAGGGACGATGAGCAAAGGCTTTTGTACCTCTATTCTTTTACCTAATTAGATGGTCAGGATCGAGTCTGGGCTTTTTAGTAAAACTTAGTACATGACTTGAGATGCAGGCGGGGGAGTAGGTGCCTGCGCGTTCTCAGAAAGGCATTATAGGAGGCATTTAAGTGCATTCCTTTCTCTTATTTGATATTTCCAGCACTAATACTATTAGTCCCGTTAGCTTGGAAATTAACATTCCTTCCAAAGCTGATGGATTTTACTGTTAGCTTTGTGATTTTTACCATTTAGTTTTTGTTAGTGGTTTATTTGGACATCAATATGAACGTAATATACTTAGAGCCAAAATGATTCTGTCCTGTTGCTTACAGTAGACAAACATGTTCTTACTGTTAAGAAATGTGGCAGCAAATAGTGATAGTCATATTCTTTTTCATTTTCTGTTCCAGTTAACAAAACAGAAAGTCGACAATGTGTACTTTTATGTGGCTCTTGATGAAATTCCTGAAGAATTTATGTCAGGTGATATCGTATACTTTCTGAGAGACACCAGAGGTATTTGTTCTCAGTAACTACTGGCTCTGCACTTTCAGTATTTGTATTAAAAAGCACTTCAGACTGACAAAAGGTGGTAGTGCCTGGGATTTAGGATAGTGCATGTCCAAGTTAATTAGCTGGGCAGGAATACTCTCAGAGTAAAACCAGGAAATGAGGAATGTATTTTTTCATTTAAAATTCATGGAAAGTTACTTATCTTGCACGTTTTACCAAGAGGGATGAAACTTTCATGCTGCTTAAGAGGAATTAAGAAGGTTTAGTTACTACGACTGTGTAAAGCATGTTGCGGATGAAAAGTTGCATCTAAAAGTTAGGCCGCAAGGTGGTGATAAGCACAACTGAAATATCACACCTCCTGACCTGACTCAAATTTGAATACATGATAGCAGCCCATGAAATAAAGATTTTTATTCTGATAGTTCATACTTTGTCCTAAAAGCAGTGACAATGGTCACCTATTCCCAGCTATCAACTGTCAATGTTAACTCTAATTTAGTGCAGGAGACTGGCTGCAGCATCAACATTTATGTGGGCTCACCAAAGAGCAACATACATGGTTTTAGGCTACAAAATATTTTGTATGTGTCTGTTATTTTCAGTTTTTATAGAAGTGTGAAATTTGACAAAAAAAGAACATGATGGTAATGCATTTGGTCATTTTTGGCAGTTCTGTGCAAGATTTTCCTGGTCTCTCTGTAGAATAAGAGTTTGAATCAAGGCCTCCATTTTGTTTGAGCAGAAGAGCATTACTGAACTATAAGACGGGGCTGTAAAATATTAGATGACGATTAAA